AAAAAAAAAAAGACGAGCGGGGGACAAAGGGGAAGACGAAGAAGAAGAAAAAAGATTGTGGGGGAAGAAGAAAAAGAAGAAGAAGCAGAAGAAGAAGACGAGGGGAAGGCTCGACGTGCCTGACGGCCTCCCTTCTATTATTCTTACGTTCCGAGTCTCGCGCGACCTAACCAACGTTCACGGTACACAAGAAGAAAAAGAAGAAGAAGAAGAAGAAGAAGAAGAAGAAGAAGAAGAATGACGGCAGCTCGTGCGAACGGCGACGGGCGAAGGGGGCAGCTCCTGCAAACGGCGACGGGCGACGACGGCCGGGTCCAGCTGATGATGACGACGGGCGGCGGGCGAGGAAGACGAGCTCCTGCGAACGACGACGATGAATGACGGGGCAGCTCCAGCGAATAGCAACTGCCGACGCAACTTCGAAAGGTTGCGGATCGGAGGGGGCAGCTCCAGCAAAGACCCACGGACGGCCTCCTGGCACTATCGCCGCCAATCAAATATGGGCGGGAAACCTGCGACGGCCACAGCCCCAACCGGTCTGCCGGGCGGTCCGGAACCCCACCCAACTGAAACATGATTTCCAAGATGTTTAGTGTGTAGAAATTACTCTTGCTTCTTTTTCTGATGACATTCTTAGTGGGTGAAGGATCTTCCGATCCCAAGACTAGGAGACAAGCAAAGACAAAGAAACAAGAGTTACTAACTCTGTGGAACTAGCTGCTGAATGATTTGGGTCTGTCCGGACCGGACGCTGAACGACACGTTCGTAATCTGTTTGATTTGTAGACGGTAGAGAACCGTCTGAAGCCAACAATTATGGCAGCGGAAGTTGTGGCTGTCGGGGTCGAAGTGTCTAAAATGATGGCCCAGTGCCGGCAGACGCTGAACCAGTTTGCTATCAAGCAGCTGGAAGAAGTCATGGAGTTGTCTAGGAAAGGAGATATCAGACCAGAAGTGACCGAGGCTACAATTGACGCGAACATCCAGCAATTAAAAGATGTCTTGGCTGCAGAAGAAAGGAATAAAAAAAAATTAACCCGGAAACACGAACAGGAACTGAGACGAGAACAAATGGTAAAGGAAATCAGACAGGTAATAGGAATACAAGGTAAGGAACAGGAAGACATAATACAAACATTGTATCACATCATAACTTCCCTTACCTTCCTGGAAGAAAAAATCGAGAGACAACAAAATCAGTTAGACGAGATTGTGGTAGGATTACGAACTGTTACAAATATTGTGAAAAGAAAGAATCCGGAAGAAGTTAAAGAAGCAGAAAGTAAGGAAGATAAGAAAGAAAGAAAAAAATTGATGAGTGACGCAATGACGTCCATTGTTCCTAAAGATCAGAAGTCGTCTAATGGAGGAGGACCTCCGAGTCCGCCGTCTTCTCCACCGAGCTCTCCTCCGTTTTCTCCACATCCAAAGTCTCCAGCTTCTCCGCAAGGTAAGGTAAGTACGGAACTGGAGAAACCGAAAAGAAAAGAAAAAGTGAAGATGGAATTACCTTTTACGTTTTGCAACAAGAAGGATGAGAATTTGTTGCTCTGGATAGCAGAAATTCATACGTACTGTAGTACGACCCCCGTTGAACTCGAGTCCCGTGTTGCTTTCTCTACCTCTTGTCTTGGGGGGGAAGCTAAGGGATGGGTATTGGCCGAAGCCAACGCTGCGGGGATTGATGACATTGG